TTAAAGTAAGAATAACCTAAAATATAAGTCTTCTATTGAAAAAGTAAAAAAATCAGGCCCTAGATTAATACAATTACTAAAAGTTAGGCCTTGTAGTAGAATTTCCCCGTCATAAAATCTCTCATAAAATGCTCGTTATATTAATTAATAATGACTCCAAGAGAAGTAATAAAAAGAATGGAAACCCTAAGCTCGCCGTCTTCGACAGTCAAGCCGCCGGGCGACCCCCGGTTGGACCCTCCCGACTTACTCCATATCGTGGCTCCCCGGTTTTTCGAGGCCTACCAGAACCAGAGCTTAATCGGAATATCCAAGAAACGTCGTGCTTCAGGAGGTTTTGAAATTCAACGGGCAAATTCCCTCCAGCCCCATCCGTAACCCCCGTACGGCCGGTTTCCCCAAAACAAAGTTTTAGGGACCTCCTAAGCAAGAACCGACCGCATGTGACTATAGCAGCCCCAACGGAAGAGGACGATCGGTCGTCAGATAGTATCACGGTTGTCATGAATGGACGTAACTGGGAAAATTCTCTTCTCCGATCCGTTTTGGGACTCGCTAGTACAAGAATGGCAACATGCTGTGGTGGTACGATTACTTGGCCACTCACTCTCACCCTTAATGATGCATAAACGTTTGTCAGCGTTGTGGCCGTCAATCAGAGATAGCCCCATGATGGACTTGGAGAATGGCTATTATGTGGTTCGTTTTGACACATCCGATGACCAGTTACGGGCGCTTACGGATGGTCCTTGGGTGATAGCCAACCACTATCTCCACGTACAACCTTGGACGGTGGAATTCGGCGCGGCAAATATCCGAACCCAATCCGTAGTCGCGTGGATTCGATTGCCCGGCCTCCCGGTGCAATTCTATAACAACGAGGTCTTCCGCTCAATCGGGAAAATAGTGGGGAAAGTATGGAAAATTGATTATCAAACGGCGGCCTGTCTTCGGGGCGAATACGCTCGTTTGGCTTGTATTTTAGACTTATCTCAACCACTTTGCTCGGATTTCGAGATCGTTGGTAGGACTCAAAGAGTCGAATACGAAAGCTTACCGGACATCTGCTTTACATGTGGAACATACGGACATGGGTCAGCCTTGTGCCCAAAGACTCGCGAGGGTCGAGACAATGGCAGACAAGAGAATCTCGCAACTAGGGATGCTAATGGTACCACGAAGGAACCCGAACGGGCCGAACCAGCCCAACAGCCCTCGCAAGCGAATAAACAGCCCCCTCCAATGGGCCCGGGACCGTGGATGGTCGCGAAGAAAACGTCACGACCCTACACACGGAAACCAAGACAGAATGAGGACTCCTCAGTCAACCCAAATTAGGCAAACTAGGAGCAAGTTCGAGGTTTGAGTCTCTCCAAGAGGACGGTGTGGGCGAAAAAGATACA